AAAAAGAGGCTAATAACTATTTTTTTTTGGTAAAATGAAAATAAAAAAATTTATTTTTTCAAAAACCCCCCCCCCAAGTGTAACCCCCCCCCCCCCCCCCCACACACACACTAATGCATTACCTCCGCTTTGAAGTATTCAAATAGATTAGAATTACTGTAATCTGCATGGAAACAGTCGGGCGAACCGTACAAAATGCAACTTTTAATTTCTTTCTTTCTTTTCTTTTTACATTAATTTCTGTCAGCTCCATCTTGGATAAAAACAGTGTTTAATTTTGATTATATATCATATATTGGCTAAACAATGCCAAATAACGAATATGGTACCTGCTATTTTCAAAGTCTTAAAAATCAAAACTACACAGTAAAGGTATTTTAAATTTCACAACATCAACCAATATAATTACTTATTTTTTTTAAAAAATAGGAAAACCTTGAAAACAGCCTTTCATTTTTAATTAATTTTAGGGATATTTTGAATGAGGTTCTTTAAATAAGGAAATGGTCAATTAAGTGTATAAAATGGGTGGGATAGGGTATCATTTTTATACATACATGTACATGTATACATGTATTTCAAACATTTTGAGTAGAAGCAATCATTTTGTAATAGATTGTTTAGTTTCCTCATTTCTGAAAAGAGCCCTTCTTATAGCCAAACTTTAGTTCAGAGAAATTTCCATAACTCATAAACCGTACGGTAAATATTGTTTCAATTTATGCATACAGGCGTCCTTTCAGTACGCAAGACCGGTAGACATCTCAACTTCATGAATTCCCGATTTCCTCTTCATGAATTCCCGATTTCAACTTTACGAATTCGCGATTTCTGCTGTGGTAAAAATACTGTGTTTATAAGAAATCTCATACGGTAAAGGAAATGCAAATAAATGATCGTTAACATTTCATTTTATTGAAATGCTTTATCTTACCATATTCATCCACTTCAAATGATTTTTCTTCGAATTCCTCCTGAAAAAAAATCAATATTTCTTGATGAATAAAAATGACTGCATTGGAAAGGAGACTAATTTGAAATAAAACAAATGCGTATTCTACATATAAATACTCTGTACAATGTGAATACTTCACTTGATATTTTTAAAGAATAAAAAAGTTGGCATGCAACTTGATTTTAACAATTGTAAGCAAAAATAATTTCAGATGAAATATTTGTGCCATTATCCATACCCCATATGATAGCAGTTTAGCTTTAAGTTTCCACTTTCCTAGCACAGGTTGTTCAGACATAAGCTGGTGTTGCACATAAACCCCTCCTAGTTTTGTCATTTTGAAACCGCTAACATCCCATTGGTTTATTTTGTTCCCGTTTGGATCCTGAAAAAATATAGGATTTCAAAATATATATCAGTTTCTCTACTTGTTATAGGGTTTGTAAGCGAACAGCATGGATCTTGATCAGACTGCGCGAATGCGCAGGCTAGTCTGGATCCATGCTGGTAGCAAACGCATTATGTTGGTGTCATGGCGCAGCTCATATAGTTGTAAGCCAAAACAGTTGAACAAAAATGTACTAACTATATTGTATAAAATACATATTTATTAACGTTGTTTACTCCAAAGTTTTAAAGAACATATTAACATTTACAAGTTTGTTAGTCTAATAAATTTGATATAATCAAAGATCAATGCAATTATAGATACATGTATGTTATATAATCAAGTTTTCTAGATATCGTGCTCATTTGGAATAATAGTAAAAGTTAAACAGCTTTTATATACCTATAAATTTTATCACTAATTAACACGAGAAGCATGTAGTGCTAAAACGATTCAAAGGTCTCACGAGATATAAATTTTCCAACGCTGCTCTTAGCAAACAAGAAAACTTCAGGTCTACTACAACAATAATCCATATTTATACTATGTAATAAGAAAGAGTAAGAAAATAGGAATTATTTGATACTTACATAAAGTTCAACCTGCAGTTTGTCAAATATAACTTTTAGCTCCGGAGTCACACCAAACACTCGGAAGTGCACTACAAATTTAAGAATACATTATCATTGATGAGATAAAATATGTATATACATGTAGTTTGTCGGTTCTGTCCCTTTTGTATCCATCTTTTAATAATATGACCTTAACCTACTGGTACCGGAAGTAATTAGCCTTTATCTAAATTGTACAACCAGATCTGCCTGCATACACCTGCAGGCTGACCAAACTACATATATACACAGTTGGTAGCTCATTTTTTTGTATTTTGAATTCCGACAGTTATCAAATTGTTGTTCCAAATTAAAAACATGCCAAAACCATTATAAAAATTCAGCAGAATAAGGACTATATCTGTTATATGTTTATGAAATGCTTTTGAAAATACACCTGTGAGACTTTTTTAAAACTGAAGATATGCCGGCCTCTTGGATATGCCGTCATAGAAAATATGCCACCAATCTCTTACCAAAAATTAAGCCGCGGTTATTATTAAGATTTATGGTATACCTGGCTGTCCTGGTTTGTAAATAGCTTTGTCTGTCTGTATGAAAACAGATGAACTTTTTGCATTATATGATAATGTTTTCGCATCTGTAAAGGATAGTCCGCCTGACCCAGATATCTTAAGGTTGAGTTCTTTCCTCTTAGACGAACCAGAGTCAAAAATTATATGGTTTGGAACCTGGAAAAAAAATTATTTAGATATTTGAAATGAAAAACAAAATGTCAGGACGAAAAATAAGCAGCAACAAACATAATAATTAACGATGTAGAACGCAAAACCTGGGATTGAAATAAGAAGCAAAAAACTTCTTTGAATGCATGTTGTGGCATAAAAACGATGGCAAAATATTAGTTATAAAGATTTCACACACGTTATTTAACACGATATGAACATTTGTAAACTCAAACAAGACAAAACTTGAGAACACAGATCAACATGGGAAGGGAAAGCTCACAGAATGCAACCCATTACAGGTTCCAAACAAAAAAGAGGACATCAGAGCGGAGATGAAGGGGAGGGACGTACTAATATGCCATTTTTTCAGAACTAAAAGAAGACAGCTAATACCAGAGAGATTCTATATTAGACCAAATATACTGAAATTTAAGGAACTACTTAACACAAATGATAGCCAGACCCTAACAAACCTTAGCATATATCATGAAAAAAATTAACGATTAATAACAATTACATGAACTGATTTATTTTACATACCTGGTGATTGTTAATCCTAATTATCCCCATCTTTATGTGTTTGTTTTTGTTTTTTGTTGTTTTTTTCATTGTCATTACAATTACACATTTATGAATAGACTGTCTCAATGCAATTTTACAACCGACCAATGAAACTTTACACATGTTCTATTTATAGATATGTCACGGAAACCCCGTGCTAAAATGTTATTGTTATTGTTAGGTTTTTCCCAGGTCAGCTCGGTTGTACATAGGCCAAAATCAAAATTATTGGTTACTTCATTCATAAATTTACTGTATGTTCTTTTTTATTGTTGTTAGCATATTAAGAACTCAAAACTTTGGGTTTTTTTCACCGCTTTCAAATAATTACTTCAAATATTATCCGCTTTCCCCATCGAAACACTAAAACCCAAAACATAATTACATTGTAATTAGAATATTTTTGATCATGTTGTTACCCATACTAATTATTTATGCTACTATTCGTTCACATGTTATTGCTTGATACATGTTAAATGTGTATTATGTAATCTGTGACAATTGAAAATAAAGTGATTTGTATTGTAAAAAAAAAAAATAACTGTTACAATAAGCAAATTATTTAACAAAAAAGGTCGGGTGTAAAAAAACAAAAACGGAAACCGAGGGGAGAATGGAACGGTAAAACCTGACATTGCCCACAATTAAGAGGAAAGGATATTACAAAATGTGTCACGACACACAACATACAACATTACACAAGACACACATGCAAAAAACCACACAGACGGATACCGTAAATGCTGTTCTTCAGAACATTTTGTTATAACAAAGCAGTTTTGTTCAGACAGTTCGTGTTCACACTTTAGGGAATCTTAAACGAACGTAAGTTAAAATTACTATGATCAGTATATATATATGAAAAAAATTTGCAGAACACATTCTAAAAAGTTCAAAGATTATGAAGATCAACGATACTTCATTTAAATCTTTAAAGTGTTTGGTTCATATTAAGTTGTAATACATACCGGAATATCCAATTGTATTTCTGAAAAAAAAAGAAATAATTAGTATGCCTATGTACTAACAACTATGATAGTATTACCATTGAAAATTATCAATATGTCCTAATATGCCGAATAATCGAATCTCACTTTCAACAGTTCACGAAAAATAGATGTATGCTTAAAGCTGATTTATATTTAAATACATGTTTATCTATTAGAAGCACGTTTTGGGCATCAATCGGACATTCATTGCATTGTGGGAAAAAACTTACTTGATTTTCCGTTTACAGTTACTGTAGAATTAGCAATAGGGCCTGCATTATTGCTTAATTCGGCAGAAATTATCACTGGCTCAGAGGGGTTCTCGAGCAATTCACCTTCTATAGTTAAATTCCGTCCTGGTCGGACAATTCTTGGGGACATTAATATATATGAACTGAAATATAAAGAAAGTTATTAATCTTCACCGTTAACGATTATATACAGTTCGTCAAAATTATGTATTACATTGATTAAGAATAAAATGACAAGTGATTGTTAAAGCTGTGAGTATAAGTCAAAATATGTGAACAGAGTTTACACACTTCTATACAAAAAAGGCCTTGGTGTTGTTGATAGTGCAGCGTTCCATTTTCACCAGACAAAAATGAAATTTTTAGCTATAAGAAACCCGATACCAGAATGATCGCATTGACGTAATGCCTGTAAAACATCACTTAGATTGCATGTTTAATTCAATTTGTATGTGAAATTAACGCTGTTTACGTAAATAATATCAAAGCAAAAATTTGAACTCACTTTTTTCCTTGCACAACTGCTTGCATAAGTGCATGGATCACGCTTATAACCCATAATCGCATTCCTGGAGAACATTGAAGTTTTATGTTTATTGATTATAAACATGTATATAATTCACCGAAATCAAAGTAATGGCGAACATATGTATTTAATTTACAACCTTAAGTTCTGTTTACTTTAAAGGCACGTGCTACGTAATATATAGATCTAGACATATCGGCAGATGTGTTTTTGTTGTTTTTTTGTTCTTTTGTGAGTGTGTGTTTGTTTTTTTATTTATTTATTTGTTTTTATGGGTTTTTTTCAGTTATCTGCCCTTGAATTTGATTGTGTGTGTGTGTGTGTGTGTGTGTGTGTGTGTGTGTGTTTGTGTGTGTGTGTGTGTGTGCGTGCGTGTGTGCGTGCGTGCGTGCGTCCGTCCGTCCGTGCGTGCGTGCGTGCGTGTGTGTGTGCTCATTTAATGTCATTTCACGGCAAGATAAATACAAACCTTATCTTCACTACCTGCCAATCTATCTTTCTATTTTTCAATTAATCATTTGAATATAAACGAACACTTGTGTTCCTTTTTAACAGTATAGACAAAGAATATGTTTTAAAATATGACATTTTTATAAATCATAAAATGAAGTTAAAAGTATTTAGCAGTAAATTTTGTATACAGTGTAAATTAAGAAATTTATAAAAGAATGAGGGTGATAGGGGTGCTTTTTTCATCTATAAAACATAATTTTGTATTACTTACTGTTAAGCATTGGAAAAGAATGCAACTCTGCGCGTGAATTAACCTTATCTCCTAAAATCTTCTTTTTTTTTTTACTGTATTCCCAATTTGTCTTTTAATTTAATTACTTTGCAAGTGATTAATGTTTTACAATACCGATCTTCTGGTATTATTTATTTGAATTAAATAAATAGTTCGTGAAGAGGTGTAGCTCGCGCAAGTTATAACTATGTTGGCTCATATGAAACACTTTTGTACGTCGTGTTGTCGATAGCGACAGCACGACAAAACGCCAAACATATATATATAAGCCAAGCGACAGGGAGACATCGCGACAACGCGCAGCATGAAAACGCGCCGTTTGGCGTGCTTCACTAGCAACAGGACGACAGGACAACAGTACGACATCAAGCCGTTTGGCGCGTTTCGCTAGCGACAAGACAAAAAGGCGATAACGATAGAGGTTGCAACGCGCAAAGTGTACCAAATCAGCCACCATATATAACAGCGTTTTTTATATAAAAATTGGAAAAATTTACAATCTCTCAACTGAAATTCCGTTTACAACAACACTTAACAGGGCTGACACTTCGATACTTGTATTGTATTTGTGGGAAATGTTTAGACATCCGTGACGTGAGGGATATTATAACGTCGCTATCCGAAAGAGTGGCGGAAATTGCCGATCCCGTCACGAAAAAAACGACTACTGGCATGCGAGCAGTTCCCGTACAGAAGCAGTACCCGTATTTTTCATTTAAACGCTTGATTTTTACATGCATTCTTCAAAAATTCATTTCAAATCAAGCAGATGCATAAACGAGACAAAATCTAAGTGTCAGTTCGGCAGTACGTATAAAAAGTCTCATTTTAAATCACTTTCACCTGTGCGTTGTCAAAACGTGACCTTGTTTTATCTGGGGGATTCCGTCCTTGCGCGCATGCGCAAACATACTTACACGTGAGGCATGTTAAAGGGTTTTCCACTAATACCACCTGTTTACAGATAAGAAGGCAATGTGATGAAAACTTGTTTAATTATCAGAATTTTGACCAATATTACTATATTAAATAATTTTATGGCTTTGATGCGTAAAATATCATGCATACAAGCATGCCATCGCATGTGAATGCGTTGGGGGTAACGGTACCGGTTAATAGATACACGCGTTTTAATAGTCTACTTTCTATTTCCTGAATTACATCTATTTATCTCTTAGAAAATGGTCTGTTCAACAATTATAAATGAAAAATAGGTCCGATATAATAAAATTGTATAATTATAATGGGTTAAATTTTATGTACGGGAACTACTTCTCTTCATACAAAATAATGGATAATTTCTGTACCCCATATGAGGCCTCATAACTAAGGGTTATTCTATGTTTAGAACGTGATGGAATTTCCATGATTTGTGTGACGAGCCGAATATTGATGTGTAACATTCAAATTTTGGTGAGTGAGCGTAATAAAAAATAATGTTTAAATAACTACGATTTTTGTACGGGAACTGCTCGCATGCCAGTATCTGTATCACGAAATGTTTATCCATGAAAATATTGACAGGTCAAAAATGCAGCATTTTCTGCAGTTGTCAAAATTTAATTTATATTTTACAAAGAAGTAAATCTGTTTCCGATTTAAAGGGTATAAATCTATATCGAATGAAATATTTTTATAAAAATTATTAACAGTAAAATTATATTGGTTCCATTATTATATGGATAATTCTTGAAAAGGTTGTAACATAGAATGTCTCTGTTATTTAATACACATGAATAATGTACGTAAACAGAATAAAATGTTCCGGACAAAATATTATTTTGCTATTTTAAGTAGGGTTTTATCTGTTTATCAATGATTTTGTGCATGCATCATTCACTTTTAAGGCAATAAATTACCATATTTATTTCATAAAAGCATTTTGAAAGTAAACTTTTTTTAAATTCTAGCAATAATTTTTGCATCAGATATATAGCTTTATACAGAGTGTATAACTTTGTAAAACATGTGATAATTTCGTTTAGATATTGCAATTTGGTGTATTACCAATTTGTGACATATTTGTAACAAAAGTGTTGATTTTGTATGTGTATTCCTGTTAAAGAGCGCTGTACATGAACAATTATCTTTTTAAGTACATGAGATGATATGCTGATTTTGTTATTGAATCATTATATCTACGGATACGTCTTGGGGTAAAAAAAGTAGAACGGTACCCAATTATTCTTTTCAAAATGATTTAAAAACATTAAAAATATTTGAACAATCAAATTTAAAACGTTAGCATTACATAATTGTAAACTTACTTATTTTGTCTCTATCCATTTCTTAAGTAAACAAAACACTCAAGACAAATATTTTCTTGACAGCTTTATAAAGTAGACTTTCCGGATGTTTGTAATATTTTCCCCAAAAACAGTCGTTAATTAACGTCGTGTGCTTTGTTGTACCTGTTTATTAATGGTACATAGGCCTACGTGGTTTGTCTGCTTTAACGTCATCATTATTCGACGAAGCGTTGCGAAATACGAGTAAACGTATTAAGAAATATTTAGGTTCACCACAAGTTATATAACTAATGAATGTCTATCACGTTAATTAACATAACTTTTATTCGTAAATAACTAATGAAAAAGATGTGAATTATGCTTAATTAATCTTTAAAGGTCAGTGGACTTCATATTCACGTGACAATTTTAATATTTGATCATATTTGAACAAACTTAAGTACGTTTATTTTTCATAATTTACGCTTAAAATTATTGGCAATCGCAAAGTATAACCCTTATAAGGTCCGGTTATGCAGGTGCGACCTTAAACCGGAAGTGTTTTATATTTTACTTTGAAAACATAATTGATAATCCACATGACTAATGGAAATTTCTAGTCATTCTGTTGAAATATATTACCAATTCAACTCGGCTTGATAGCAGAAAATGAACATAATGTCACTTTAAATTATGACAGTATGTTTTATATATTATAATTTATACTTTCAGTATATAACTTGCTCAATAAATTATTGCATTGATGGTATAACGGCAATCGAGACCCTATTTATTTGAAGGGAAATTTATATAAAATAATATTATATAAAACCTCTGATTTACATTCGACTTAGAATGTTGATGAATGTTGATTGAGATGCATTGAGATATGTTAGAATAGAGTAGAATAGAAAAGAATAGAATAGAGTTTATTTCCAATTAATGGGTCACATTCACGATATTAAGTGTATTCAAGTAAATAAAGCTTGATTCTAATTATTTTGAAAATAATTAACTAGAGGTATCAGACCCAATAATCCTGATTTCCATTCGTTCTGTAATTATAGTTTATATGCTAAAATCTTAAATTTTAAATTTCAGTCTTAGATTCCATAAATGGAGTTCATGATATGGGTTTTAAATAAGTAGTTAGCGACGTAGGGACCTGCAATCTGTGTTAAAGTTAATAGTCCTTTAACAGACAATGTATGTATTTTTAAGTTCTTTATCATATAAAACAGTGCTGACTGCTGACGATGCAGTTATGTTATAAAGTTAATGTTCTCGCACTAGCACAGTCAAATAATAACAATTTGTTATGGACAAGCCAGGTTGTAAACATGATGGTTCCTACAATTCCATCTACTTTAACAAAACCATAATTATATAACAAGTAAATTTATACAGTCAATTACACACATCCTTCACATTTTATAGCATAATGGCCCAAGGACAAACAACCGCATAATTCCAAAAAACCAGTATTTAAGTTGACACAGCTGTCATCTATGTTATAACACAATATTCATTGATAAAACAATATGATAAAATATACTATCTGCTACATTAAAGCATTCTAATATGATTAACTGACACTTTTTCTGACTTTTAATACACTACTTCTAAGCTGATAGCATTCATTACAAATGTATAGCTAAATGAAAAAGTACATCCTTATTTTCATAACTAAAGAGTCAAATAAATTTGTTCTTTTCTGAGAGTTTTTCAAAATTATCATTTAAACACATAATTGAATCATATAAAGCTTGTCTTTTGTTTATATACCTATTACAAGATGTCACAAAATGAATTTTCTCCTTAGCAACACCAGATAAACACAATTCGCATAATTTTTTTTCTTAAGGTATATTTTTGAACCGCCCATTTCTATTTCCAATATGTGTGAGCTTATTCTAAAACGTGTAAAGCATTTTCATATGTCTACATTTTTAATTATATCAAAGTGCAGTTCGTAACACAAACTAGTCTTAAATAATGCATAGGTTCGACGTTTGCCTACTTCATGTTCCCTGCAATCTGACAAGGTCTTATCAAATTGAAGTTTACACATAAATACACGTTTAGACTTTACTCTTTGGTGAATATTTTTGTTATACACAAACTGTAAATATATCAAGATGTTTTAATATAAACTGTATGCTAGAAATCCAACAACTTTTCTTATGCTCATTTCTAGAAAAGCATTTGATAACAAACTATCACTTTCACAAGTAATTATATAATCTTTACAAGTATTTAACCATACTAATAATAACATTAAAAATAGTGGAAATCTTCCTAGTTCACCAATCACTGCTGCATTTCTTGCTTTTTTTGTGAACACCAGGAGTATGCTTAAAAAAAATAAACATGAAGTTTCCCGAAAGGCATATCAATGAAAGATGAAAATTTATCATAATTTGGCTTATTAACTTTTGTTGAGTTTGTATTAATAGTTCCCCATATTTCAGCATACAAAAGCACTGGTTTAACAGTGTGATTAACTAATGCATCATAGTTTTTACATTTGGTGAAACATTGCTGAAACATTTACTTAGTTTACAATTTGCTTTAAAAGCACGTCTATAAAGGTTTTTCTGACAGTGGGTAAAAGTTCCTGGCGCTGAAAATAAGATCCCCGGGTATTTATTAGAGATTACATATTTAATTTCATTGTTTTTGTATGTGAACTTAGTGCTAGGCAACTTGTCATTTTTACAAAATGTTATAATATTAGACTGACACACAGTCCATATCACTTTACTGTGAGAGTTTATATAGCAATTTTGAAGTCCTCTTTCACAAGTAGAAAGTAACACAAGATCATCAGCATATAAGAGACAGCTTATAAGTATGTATCACCAAGTAACACTTGGTCATCATTTTCATCAAAACATTGTGGCAAGTCATTTCAAAATAGTTTGAACAAATTTGGATTTATTTTGTCACCCTGTCTCACACCAAACTGAGGTTTAAACTCTTGTGATAGGGAATCATTAATCAGAAATGCATATAATTGTTACTATACATATACAAATAGTATAGAATGCATTACAGTGTCAAACGCTTTCGCAAAGTGAACAAAACAAGCAAAAAGTTTAGACCCATTACTTACATACTTCTCAATCGATGTCCTCTATACAAACATATGGTCAGATGTTCTGGTTTTCGGTTGAAAACCTATTTGTGCTTTATAAATAATATTGTTTTTATCAAAATATTTTTTTAACTATTAAAAACTTTCGATAAACATGGCATAATACAGATACCACGGTAGTTAGCAGGGTCATGGAAATCATTGCCTGCCTTTGTATAGGGGTTTGATATAACCTAGTTTCCACTGAGAAAGGTAGGATCCTGTAGATAGAATTGTATTAAAAAAAACTTAATAAAACCTGGCATTAGACTTGTTTGTCCGCATTTAATCATTTCATTAGTTATAACATCTAGGCCGCATGATTTTTTATTTTTCAATTTCTTAATAGCTGTGCTTTTTTTTCTTTTCAGTGATTTTTAAATCCAGATCAGTAAATGACCTAATACTCTCTTTTTCATGCAGATAGTGTTTAAAAAAAAACAAATTTCAACTTTGATTTTTCACTGTATTAACCAGCGAGTTGTCTTGAAAACATTAATGCTTAACCCATCTTTCTAAAGATAGTTTTGATCTATTTAAACAGATCATAGGAATTCCTATGGGTACTAATTGTGCACCCCTGGTCGCCGACTTGTTTTTGTACTGCTATGAAAGAGACTTTATGTTGAGTCTCTCTGAAGATAAACAACAAGATGTTATAGTCGCATTTAATAATACTTCCAGATACCTTGATGATATTTTTAATTTAGATAATCCTTATTTTGATCAAATGGTGTCTGACATTTATCCGCATGAACTACAACTTAATAAAACGAACTCTTGAAATTTTAGTACATCATTTTTGGATCTTCGTGTTGCTATAAACAACAATTCTATTCACACGAAAATCTATGATAAAAGAGATGACTTTGACTTTTGTATAGTTAATTATCCACATTTAGATGGAGACGTACCCCATGCAACATCTTACCGGGTATATGTTTCTCAGTTAATTAGATTCGCTAGAGCTTGTAGCAACGTAAAGGATTTCAACGAGCGGAATATTTTTATTACCAGCAAGCTTCTAAAACAGGGCTACCGCTATCAAAAATTACAGAAATATTTTACTAAAATTTTACAATCGTAATTTTGATTTAATTTCTAAATTCAATAGTGATTTAAAAACTCTTCTGCGACAAGGGATTAGCCAGCCTGGTTTTTATGGCGATGTGATTTACAAACTTCGTAAGATTTTGGGTCATGGTAATTTTTCTGCTGTTTTTACTAAAATCATTAAACGTTTTATTAAAAGAGGTTATGACCCTGCTATTTTAAGACATACTGCATGTTTAGTGTTCAACCCTTTTACAGTTGGACACTACGCTTTCCTCTTTTGATTACATCTGACGGACCAAGTGGGAGACTCTATGATGGATAGTTCGTAAAGCCCTTTGGGACTGAATTGTCTTAATGTTCGTCTTCTGCCTTGCTTCGTCGGGCCCTTGTAGGTGATTTTCTTGTTGCTCTGTCTTCCTTTAGGACATTGAGTACTTTTGTTATGGTCATTGGGTTTACTTTTATATGTTTCTACATGATCATTTGAGTGATTTACTTATTTAACCTTTTGTAACCATGACAACTGTTAGAATTTCACTTGGCGGGGATTCATTTTATTTACAATGTCTCGTTTATAGGAACATGGTGGGATTAAGAGCGAGGTTTGGTGCACCATTAACCGGTTTAAACTCCCCAGCAGTCATTATTATGCTACTGACCGTTCCAAGGCGGCGTCCCACTGTGTTCCTCAGATGTATGTCTATGTTGTTTCATACTGTTTTGGTGACACTTTTGCTTGTGTCCCTTGTTGTTTTCTCGTCTACGGTAAGTATCTTCCCCATTGCCTCTAGTTTTTTTTTTATTTCTTTGATTAACCCCCCCCCCCTTCCCCCGGTCTCCTGTCCCCTTCCCCTTTGTGGGCCTATTATTATTTTCTTTGAATTCCTAATCAGTTACAAATTATTTATCATTTAATGATTAAACTGTCCGTGCTCTGTCTTTGCCCTGTCCTGTTTTTGTTTGGGGTCCGCCTGGGCTCCTTGCCATTGTTTCTTGTTGCTGGGTCATATATGGG